TGACTGGGATAATCGGGACGAGAGTGTCAGAGGCAGTGAGATTGGTACAGGACAGAGCAGAGTTAGGGACGCTATGAGTCGCAAGTGACTCGATGGCACATAACAACAACAACATATATGTACCATAGCTTTAGTCAATATAATTACCTGAAAATATACACTTGTTGTTAGCTGCAATAAGGTAAATTCCAATTCATGGTGACCTGATGCACAGAACTGTTAGTTTTTCTCACACAAAGGAAAACTACATCTTTTATCTTCCTTCTAGAAAAAATAAGTCTAAGAGTACTTCTCCAAATTTAATGTGAAAAGATGTAGATCTGCAATTTTTATTAAGTTCCCTAATAATTCATCCATATAAGGTAACTTTGCATAGCTAAAAAGTGTAACTTAGTAATATATCCATAGTTCACAAAGCACTGGTGTGAAGTTTCTAATTATAAGTGTAATTGATCAATTTCACACTTTTCTATTTTTTTATTATTTTAATGAAAGTTTACAGAGACTTTGGATTTCCATTCATTCATTGTTGCACTTTCCCCCCTGCCCACCCCTTCCCCCTAGTTTGCATTTCTCTTTGGGGAAAAAACATCTTTCATTGTTATATAATCCCCCACCGAACCCCCAGTCCACTCCACTATGCAGCTTTCATTCTGGACTCTTGTCATGACAATAATACATAATCATATATTCCTCCTAAACAGTTCTCTCCCTCATCTGCTTCAATGTAGTATACATTATCTATCCCCTCTTAGTTTTCCCCCAACTCCAATGTCAGATCCTCTTTATAACAGTGGCACTATGTAGTATTTGTCCTTTTGTGACTGAGATATTTCACTCAGCGTAATGTCCTCCAAGGTCACCCATTTTGTATAATATTTCATCCTTGTTTTTCAATAGTATTCCATTGCGTGAATATACTAAAGCTTCTCTAGTCATTCATTTGTTGATGGGCACTTGGGTTGTTTCCAGCTCTTTGCTATACACTTTTCTATTCTTTTGTTACTTTGTCCCTTATATACACAATCATTCCATATCCTTAAAACTTAGAAAAAGTTAAAGTTTATAATTCTAAAACATCCTTGGTATTCACCCAATTCCAAGGCCATCTAAATCTGCTAGAAATCAGAGAAACAAAACCTTTTGCATATTGTTTTAAGTCAATATAATTTAATTACACTGTTAAACAAATACAACAGTTCCCTGGTTGTTATTGTTCTCTTGTTCTTACTGGTCTTTTCTTTCTCATACTTACATGGAAGTGTAAGAGAGGATTCCATTCTTAGCTTCATCTCCTTTTCACTTGATATGCTGTTTCTGTATTACCTACATGCTAATGGATCCAATTTCTTTATCTCCAGCCTAGACATGTCGTCTCCCAATCTTAGATCCACATCTTTGACTACTTCTGATAATTACTGACAACACCAAATATTTCAAATTGAACCTCTTATTCAACATCTTTCACCACTACAGATCAGATTTCTTCAACTTTGTATTGACTCTGCAATAAGCATCATCATCCTCTCATTTGTCCAAACCACATCTGAAGACTCTACCACTTCTCCCTCAGCAAGTCCAACTTATGTTATATTCTAATTACTTCTCAAATTCCATGTCATTCTTTCTAGTGGGATAATTTCCGATCTTGTTACTATTGTAAACGAATCAATACTACCAACCTCATTTCTTCCCTCATTTCTGTGCTCTGCACTACTATATACTACCTGCAGTAAGACTGACCTCACTGAAATTCACCAGTAACTTCATATTACTTTTAGGGGGGGAAAAATCCCAACTTTTAGCATATTATATAAAGCTTTACACAATATTGACTCTATCTCTTTGTAGTCTCAAACTCATCCATTACCAATGCATATTGGTCATATATCAAGCTATCTACAGCAACTTGAAAGTGCCATGCTCTCTAATGTCTTTGAGCCTTTTCAAACTATCTTTTCACTGCTTCCTTCTTTAAGTATTAATCTTGGCTTAGTCTGCACCACATTGCGCTAACTCAAAGGCCAGCAACTCTGGCAGATTGAATCTAACAGAGGCTACAAACGAGAAAGGCAATCTTCTCCTTTGTGATTTACAGCCTCAGAAAAATCCTCTGAAAGGTCAACTATGAGGCAAAACCAACTTAACAGCTTAACTTTAAAACATTTTTAACTTTAAAAACTTAAAAGAGTTTTTCATGAGACTCAATCTTCATATTCTTTAACTCATTAGCTAATCCTTTTATGAGCACAATGCCCAGTAGTTGCAGGTTCTATATAAATGTTCATTGAATAAACAATTTTGAAATACTGTTGCTGTGTACTGTTGAGTTGGAACTGACCCATCGCTGACCCTCCAGCAGGTTTTCTGAGGTAGCAAATTACACAGAAAGAGACTGTCCTTCTCACTCCTGTGGAGTAGCTAGTGGATTTTAGAACCACAAACCTTTGCATTGGCAGTACAATTCCTTACCACTAAGCTACCAAAGCTCCTTATTTTGAAAGAGCGTCATTAATAATTATTATAGTTAAATAGATATAAATTTTAAATAACTTTCAAGAATGCATTCTAATGTAATCAACTAGTACATGTCCACAGGCTTACCAGAACTTCACTACATTTCTTAAAACATGAAAGTCTAAAACACTCTTGTTATTAATTCATTCTCAGCAATCTAAAGCTGTCTGTTAAAATATTAGAAGTAAAATCTTTTGCATATTGCATATTATCTTAAGTGGAGACATTTTAATTACACTGACTGCACTGCTAAAACCAATATATCAACAGTACTAACCTCTTCTAGATTGAATGAAGAAGCAAAAGCGACATAATGGTTTGAACATTGTTCAAGTTGCCTGGGTTTGCATCCTGGTTCTTCTACTTACTAACTACATGACTTTGGATAGTAAAAAACATCTTAAAGCTTCAGTTTCTTCATTGGAAAACAAAGAAAATTGCTTAGCTATCCTGTAAGTTGTTTCTTATATCTGATATGAATGTAAAACTATTTCTATAAACTATCAAATGATAAGTAAATTTGGAGTACTGTGATAGCATCCATGTCATTGGCCAGCGAGTTTACCTGTGAATATAAAGTCTTGTGGCCTATTTCAATCTCCCATTATCCACTTCACATTTTCTCCAAAGACTGAAAATTTCCAAACAAAATTATTATCCTCGGTCTCCAAAGCATCAGATCCATTCAATTGCCTTCAATATTCACATATGACTAAAGTGTTACATGAGACACATAGCTAATTTCATAATAATCTAATATGTTCTTAATCTTAATGTTATATCTTTTCTAAATCTCAAGGTAAGTTGTTGGTACAGTCATTTAAATTTCAGCTCCATTTTTTTAAAAAAGGAATTGGAGGACAAAAATCAGCAGGGAATATTCAGAAATTCTTCAGCAGAGAATAGTAAGAGATATCTTTGTGTATTAATGCTTAGACCGCATACTGTCTATTAATATACAAATTTGATCCACTATAAGTAGCATGAAAGTTAAAAAAGTAATCCTCATAAAACCAGGACCTTTCCCCACACAAATCTCTTTATTTTCAAATATATTTGTTGATCAAACAGAAAATTTGCTGCATTTTTCTACCCTAAAAAAGTGATAGAACACGTTAACTGTGCTCTCAGCAATGTTTTTCCTTCTTACATAAGGACTTATGGGATAACAGTCTACATCAGAACTTTGTTTCTTCTGCAGTATTTTTAAAAAGTGGATTCCTTTAACTTCCATGGGCAAAATTCCTTTTAAAAAATATAAGAAAAAGGAAAAACAAAATCTACTAAAAAAAGTCAGCACTTCGGTACCTGATTGTGGTAACAAGGCCAAAATCCAAGACGGAGCCCTTTAGCACACGTGTTCCATCGTCTTGGGCAGCCCCATCTTGCGACCTCTCCAGATTGGCTGCTCCTGCTCTCTCTACTGCAGAGAGAACTTTAATTAGAGAAATTCTGAAGCTCATAAAGCTAAACTGGATGCTCCCCTCACTTGAGGCATGAGGTAAGAATCACTAAAAAGATTCAAGTTAGAGAGGTTTCAAATAAATCTAAATGGCTTGAAACCATTGTAACACAGGCAGCTGAGAGTCTTCTTATGCAACAATCTACTTTAAAAAAAAAATCGTAAGGGAAAATAATGGCAGCAAATTATTAGATAAACTGAAAAAATATAATCAATCATAAATCTCTAAAAGGGGAAATATTCTTCCCTAAAGTTATATATGGAATTCATATTATATCTAGTATAAAAATCTTACAATTGACCATTCATAAGCCTAATAAGAAATGAAACCAAAGATAAAAACTAGGACACATTACTAACTTTGTTATGACCGAAAAGAACAACTTCATTGAAAAAAAAAGGTCCGCTAAAACCCACTGATTAGGTTTCCCTGCTGACTTAAGCCTAGCTGCCCAAGCAAGGCTTCAGAAAGTGTCTTCACCTTCAAAAGTGTGTAGGCAGAAGGAGCAGAGGCTATGGCGGTCTTCCTAGAGACACTTACTAGTCATATATATATGAAGTATGTTTCTGGGATAGACTGCCAACAAGTTACTGAAAGAAGAGAAACAAAAACAGCAAAAATCTGGCAAATAAATAGACCAATGCCTTCATCTATTTTATTATGACAAATAAGATTAAGTCTTAACCAAAGTTACTTTGAGGCTACTAGGTCTAAATTACATCTTCCATACTAGTATTACCTGATTTGTAAAAACCAAATAATTTTCTTCACGCTGCTTTTCTAAAATGTCTTGTAAATTTGTGCAATGCCAGGCAGGTATCACCAATTCCAAAGAACTTTAGCAATTAAATTTTTCAATGAGAAGAAATAAACAATGTAAAACACCTTTTCCACCATTAACCTTTATTTTTTAAAAAAAAAACTGTACTGGTATGCACTATGCAACAGAATGAGATTAATATTATTAAAATAATTTACTAAATAATAATAATCATAATAATAATAATGCTTTTTTCTTACCTGAGTGTGAAAATTTGAAATGGTGGTTGTTTCTATATCTTTCTTGCCCAGAATTTCCATTTTCACTGGAGTGTTGGGGAAATTAAAAGCAAAGTAGTCCAAAAAGTCTGGGAGATAAGCAGCTGCCCCATGCACTATTGCTAAAGCATAGTAAGCAGCATTTTTCTCATTTTCACTGAATGTCAAAGCAAGAAACTCTTCAGAAAATCTCTCCATCTCCATTGGAGACAAAAATGAGAGTTCATCCATATAAGCATGAAGGACAAGAGCACCACCATTGGACTGGTGTTCCTCATGAATAAAGTTGCTAAATTTTGTACCTGTTTTTAAGAAATTTCTACGAATAGAATGCTCCTGGTGAGTCATAAAAGGTGTTTGTACTCCCTGGGGTACCCGATATTCTTGCATGCCCAAATTTAATCGGCACAGCTGCTCATCTTTCAGATACCTGAAGGACTCCTTATTAACTCCTGAAGTGCTATTTATTTGTCCTTGGGTGAGGATTTCCTTACTGATGCGGGTCAGGCCAGCGCAGACGGTTTGTACCTCCTTATTATACATTTTAAGGCGTCTTCCTCGCATATCTTCTCGATGTTTCTTTTTCTTTTTCTTCTTTATTTTCTTCAAGACAAAATCATCAGCTCTCTGGGTTTTACCATTTTCATCTGGTGTTTCTGGCCATAATAATTAAAAAGAAGTTAGTTGCTAGGCCTAGTGTCAAGACACAAGTTCTTACGGTATTCGATCTCAAATTAAATAGCCTAGTTTCAATTTCTCTGAATTTGTCATTATAATATACTTAGAAAATGAAGACAAAATATTAAAATACAATAGATTTTTGGTTCAATATAACGGCTAAAAAGCAGTTACTGCAAGAGTAAGCATATACTTTAATGTGACTTGCAATCAAAACTACACTCAACATTCAAGCAATTCTAGCCCTATCACACAGTAACCGGGAGTCTATAAGTTATTATAGTGCATATAAGTAAACTAATAAATAGAAATTAAGCTATAAGACATCAATGCTGTCCATCAAATTGGCAAGTTTTTGTGGTTTCGGGGGCATTTTTATACACTAATACTCTTAAGTATAAACTGGCCCATCTTTCCTGGAGGGCAATTTGCCAGTATATGTATCAAGAGCCTCGAAAATAAACCATCGACTCAGAAATCGCATTTCAAAGTAAAAATTATCCTCAGAAAATAACTGAATTTCTGTGACAGCATTATGTTATACACTAAGAACAAAAAAGTCCCTAAATAGTCTAAGAATAAGGGATTGATTAAACAATGGTACTTAACATACTATAAAATATTATCTGGCTATCATAAATTATACTATAGATGAAAATAATTGATATACAAATTTAAGAGGTTTAAAATTATTAATAATAATAAAAAGGTTTAAAATTATTACATTGTCACTATTTCAAAAAATGACAACTCTCTCGGACCCAATTTGGTGAGCTGCTCCAATATACCATGTGCTCTAATTGTATGCCTCCTATCAGAGCACTTCTCACACTCTTGTGTTAGTATATATTTAATTTTCCAAACTTCTTTTAAAATGAAAGCAATCTAAGAAGCAATATTTCTTACCTTTCTTTCCAGAACATCTAATACATGTATAATCTAATTTCATTTTTTTTCTAATTTCATTTTTATAATATTAAACATTTATTCCTTGAAACTTATACTGGACACATGTGCCAGTTACTCTTCTAGGCACTGGTGTTGAATAAAATAGACATAATCCCTACCTTCTTGGCGTTTACAATCTGGACAAGAAAATATATCAAGTAGTAACAAGAATTGAGCAGGCTATGCTAGATGCTGAGAAAGTTCATTCTGGCCAACCCTGCGAAGATCCTAAAGGGAAATACTACAGGTAAAAAGAAAAGCTAACAAAAGACTTAATGACAGGATAAGATGTGGCTGATTTATATCTCATAGCCTAGAGTCTAGAAACTGTGCTACAACCCCGAAGGCATTTGGTTCAAGGGAGAACAATGGCCTAAGGTTACCGTTATTAACTGCCTCTGAAAACCTGCCAGAGGGTCAACTATGGATTGGTTCTAACTCAACAGCACAGAAGAATAACAACAATGCATATAACACATAGAAAGATCTGAACAAATGTATTAACAATGGTTATCTACAGACAATAGGAATATAGTTGTCTAGCTTTTTTGTTTATTTATATTAACTAATTTTCTGTAATAAACAATTACTTTAATAGTTTTAAAAAATACTTTTAACTTTTAAAATATAACTGACAAACTCAATACAGAATAAAACCAAACACACTGTTAAGTTTATTCTGAATCATAATGACTCTCCATTGGGTTCCCAAGACTGTAATCTTGAACAGAAGAGTAGCTGTTGTATTGCAACTGCTGACCTATTGCATTAGCAGTGCAATATGTACTGCACTATGCCACTAGACATCTCCCCCTTTTCCAAAACCCTCAACACCACTAAAATGTCATCTTTAACTAACTAGCTGGGAAAAACTATCTAGCTAAAAACCTTTAGTCCTAACCAACTTTCAAGTTTGATCTGATAATATAGAATTTATCCATCCAACAATATTTTTTCTAACATGACTCAAGTAGCCAAGTGTTAAGAAATAATTAATCTTACTATTATACTTAAGAACCAAATTTAATAAACTTTACCATATTGAATGAAGATATAATACATAAAAAGATGATAGTTACTAATATCTAGGTGAATGTCATAGCAGTATGCTAAGCAAAATTATTCTAAATTACCAAATAGTCATAAAAACTCTAAAGAAAATATTTAAAAGTACAGTTAAAGACTTTAAAGATTCTAGATAATGACTTTCATTTTGTTCAAATATGTCATCAAAATGAGAACCTAGACCAATACACATATGCAATCAGTTTGCTTAAAGGGAAAAAGTAGCTGTGGTGTTAGCTTAAAAGTTGGCTTTCCTAGTCATTACATTAGCCCCCTCTGTGCTCCAGCTACCCTAACTGCAGACATACAGTCTTGCAAATTACCAACAGCTGTAAGGCTAGAATAAGAAAGAGAATGCTTCCTACATAGCAAGATAAGTGGGAGAGTGCACAAGACTTCAGGGAGACTGAAACAAGACCTTGGTGATGGTTGTGGAGAAACTGTGGCAAGGTACAACGCGAGGTGCCCCAAGATAAAGGCTACAGTTAAAAGTTTTTCTGCGCTTAATTAAAAAGAAGCTAGCATCAAGATGGATGATGAAGAGATTGAGATTGTTAACAGCTTTCGTTTGCTTGGCTCCACAGTCAACACTTGGCACCAGTAGCCAGGAAAATACAAGATACATTGCGATGGGAAAGTCTGCTGTTAGGGACCTCTCCAAAGTACTGAAAAGCAATGGTGTCACTCTGGAGACTAAGGTGCATCTGATACAGGCCATGGTCTTTGCAATCACTTGCTATGCGTCAGAGAGCTGGACAATGACTAGGGAGGAAAGAAGGAGAATTGTTGCCTTTTTGAGCTGTGGTGCTGGAGAAGAGTACTGAATGTTCCATGGGCTGCTAAGAAACAAACAGGTTCATCCTGGAGAGGGTTAAATAAAGCTTCTCCTTGGAAGCAAGGATTCTGAAGCTTCGTGTCTGACATACAATGGACATGTTGCAAGTAGGGACCAGTCTTTGGAGAAGGTCATGCTTGGGGTGGGGGGGGACAGCACAGGAGAGGAAAACCTTTTATAATGTGATTCAGGTGATTCAGTGACTGGGGTGGTTGGGGGTAGGTGTGTCAGAGACAGTGAGATGCGCACAAGATAGAGTGAGATTTAAGGCTGTTGTACCTAGGTTCGCTATGAGTCACAGGCAACTCGACAGCACATAGTAACAACAAGAGCTGACTTATAATTGTTCTGAGGCAAACCTTGCTGGATGATTGAGAAAAACAGCAGATTCTTGAATATGTGTGGCTGAACTGAAACCAGAACTTTCACTAATTAAGGAATTGTGCTTTTCTGTTAATCTGGCTTGGGACTAAATTTGGACTTACACTGTGAGATATTCTTTGTCTCTCCCACACCCCAACCTACTTCCCTAATAAACCTCACTCTTTGTTCCAGAACTGTGAGTAAAGCATTTAAGTCAACAATGAATATCAAACCCAGTGATTGTTGGGAAAAGATGCAGGAGTATGGGGTGTGGCATGTCTGACCTAACAGCTATCTGTTTGCTGCTACGGATATTATTGATGAGAAAAGTTCCCCTTTATGAAGAGGGCAAAGTCAGACTAGGCTACCCTCATATTGCATCAACTCCTTTTTACAGTAGTTGTTGTTGATTGCCTTCGAGTCCAGCACAAATCACAGGGACCCTACGATTATAAGGCCTCAAGCCCCTCTACAACTATCAACATTTATCAAAGTTCATAGAGTCTCCGAAGGCATGCTATTTAGGAAGTGGATGCCACTTCTGCTTCCAAACTTGTCACAGTAGGTTATTGTTTTTATGTGCAACTGAGTTGCCTGAGACGTACAGTGAGCAGCTCTGAACCCTTCCCCATCCTGAGCCAGTCTCACTAACTCCGACACACCAACTCCGATTTCCCCAGTTACTGTATCAATCCATCTCATTCGGGGTCTCTGCTTTGGATTCTTTGCAGAAATGGGCAAGTTCTGCAGTAGCAGTTGACCCTTTATCATATAAGCAACTAAATTTTTGGCATGTAATTACAACAATTAAGTCATTTATATTTCTAACCAAGTAAAATTTAACTACATTTCCCCATATATCAATAGTTTATGGTATTCTTTCAAGCAACTAAATAAATGGTAACACCATTAAGTATAATGCTTAGATCAATTTTTAAATAGGTGCCTAACAATTCTAGCCTGTAAATTCACAGGAAAATGAAGGGGGGAAAACACTCTAGATAGATTCTGTTATTTTAAGTTCTCAGAAGAGGTATCCGGTATGCAGTAAATGAACTGTGACCTAGATCTGTCACTGACATAAGACCAAGAGTTAACTGCCTTAACTGAAACATATCTTCTATGCTATTATCAGTTTATCATGGTATTTCTAATTTGATCAAGTCTCTGTGGGGTTTATTACAAAGCTCATTTATATGTTTAGCACTCAATTAGTAAAACATCCTCGAAGGGGAAAAAAAAGCCATAAGAACAAAACTCACACTGCACAAAAAAACAAAACAAAACAAAAAGTAAAATGGGCCTTAACTGACTGTAGTATCAGACAAAACATGACAAAAGCTAAAGTATAAGTCTTAACCTATCTTCTGGCTAATGTTGTTTAAAAAAAACCCAAACTCAAAACATACTAAGATTTAGGAAGTGTACTCCTGTGACATTTGATACCATGTGTATCATACTAACAAATAATTTTTGCCTTGAAGAAACAAAATTTTTTCTAAAATTACTATGGTACCAGCTAATGAGAATGCTATATCTATCCATATAGGGAGTTCTAGTGGCCTGATGGGTAATAAGTTCTGATGTCAACCCAAAGGCAAGAAGTTAGAGCTCCCTATTCCTCAGGAGAAAGATGGACAATCTCCTCCTATGCAATTTACAGTCTCTGAAAACCTGGTGAAGAGTAAGCTTTGAGTAGGATCAAACTCAAAAACAATGTAGGCATGCATGATAAATACACATTTTTAAAGGTTGGCACAGTAAGCC